TATATATATATATACATTCATGGTTATATAAAAACGAAAATACTCCGAGATGCGGGCAGGGCCGGGCCGAATGGGCGAGCCTCAACTCCCGAACGTTTGTGCCCCCTTGGGGATGCGTTCGGCCTTTCGGGCCGAGCGCGAAAAAAAAAAAAAAAAAAAAAAAAAAAAGCCCAACAAAAAGTCATCACAAAAATCTGAACGAAAGATATCTTATGAAGACAAATAAAGTACAATATTTGCCTGAGCATTACATCCAAATTCCTTGCGAAATTTGAAATAAAAACAAATTCCGAAAAAGAAAAACTGATAATAAAAAATAATAATAAAAAAAAAGAATTAAATTTAGTGGGTTCTCGACGACGTTTTGGACACCGCCATCTTTGACGAATTTTCAATTTTTTTTGGAATAGCTAAATGCCGAGAAAATTTAGATATGTGTACTTCACATAATGCAAAACACACTAAAAAAGTTGCAAAAGTAAAAAGTGAAAAAAAAAACATCGCCAAACACGTTTTGACACCGCTATCTTTAGGGATTTGTAATTCTGATTTCGCTGAGCCAAATGACTTGAAAATTACAGACGTGTACCTCATGTCATAGAGAAATAACATAAAAAAATTGAAAACAAAAAAATATTAGTTTTTGGGCCCGAAGCGGGGGCCGAACACCGTCGGCCTCGGACCCCGTACGGGACCCCGAACGCCCGTACGTACGGAGGTCTGCCCGGGGACCTCCGTACGTACGGCTGGTTACCCTCGACCAGTCATGATGACCAAATTTCTTGTTTTATGTTTCCAGATATCACTTCGCTCATTCTGTGGTCGTGTCATGAATCCTCATGATGACCGCAAAAAGTTTTCGCTCCGTGACCGTATGCGCCTTCTGCCACCATGCATAATGGACGGCGTCGACCTATCAAATCTAGAAGGCAATGAAGGCAAATATGACCTCGACGACATAGATAAACATCTTAAGACGGTGACAAACGACCTGAACACCGCACGTGCTGTGCGGTCGACATTGTATGCACAGGTGCAGACAATTGTTTCGTCCTTGCGGAAAAAAAAAATGGAATTGGAAAATCGGGAGGCTATTTGCACAATTCGTGAGCAACGTCTGCTGCACGAGAAGGGCAAGCCTCGTGTCGACTCCCCTACACCTTCGACTCCGTTCCTTGTTTCAGGGCGCGACGTTCGTGGTGGCACTGAAGTCGAACTCGGTTTCTCTCTGCCACAAGCTGCGGCCTCCCTATCAGGAAGCACGACCAAGACGCCCGACTCAGTCAGTGCATCCCTGGACAACTCTGGGTCGTATGTTTCCGTGTCGTGTCGGGGTTCGAGAGTAGACGAGGATCATAACTCTGCTGCCTGTGAAGGACGAACGTCTCAAAAGTTGAAGAAGCAAAAACAGTCCGGCCGTTGTCCCGGCCCCTCGAACTGGGACTCGTGGATCTAGTTGAGAGCGTAGTGGTCGGAAATAACAAAAACGATTAATAATGGTTTTTGTTTTTTTTTTCCATCCGTTCTTCCTTTCAACTACTGTTTTTTTTTTTCTCAATCACCTATGGTCCAGCGGTGGACAATTTTGTTTTTTCAGTTCGTGCAAGTTATTACTATCTGTATTGCCATCCCGCTTACGTTTAGTTCTACCATTTATCCGCCATACTCTATATACAATGGAGAATATTTTTTTCGATATTTCTTTTCCATGTTCCGTGGACGAACACTAACTTCCACCGCATCTGTTGCAGATACTCACATCGCGACACTATAATGGAGCAGGCACAACCTCGAGCACCCAACAACGAAGATGATGGGGACATGGTGTATGGTCGTCGACCAAGACGTAGAGTTGTGCGCGGCCAAGGGGGCCCCGGTCTTGGGCCAACAGTCGTCGCGGCACGTCGCCCACGACCTCCTCCCCCACATATGAACGGGGATGAAATACGGGCAACATGGCCGCATCCTGTGTTTTTGGTTGAAACCGCGGTACAGATTGTGGGTCAGGAGGACCGCAATGACCAATTTTTGCATATCCTCGTGGGAAACGATCGACTGGACGCGGTGGCTAACAGATTCGCAGGGTACAGGGAGTTCGCGAACCTCTGCGGTTACACTCGCCGTCGGAATTCGAGGAGGCAATGCGCATGAGGTGGCCCAACCCCCAATCCAATGGTTACGTCGGCTTCATTCCTGATCCGCGCGCTCCAGCCGATAACGATAACCCTCGCCATGGGTAGATGGTAGAGAGAGTTTGGAGAGAGAGAGAGAGAGGGGGGGAGAGAGAGAGAGAGAGAGAGAGAGAGAGAGA